GACTCCCTAGACTCGTTAGTGGAGTAGGTGAGCCGCGAGGTACGGTCCGGCATATTAGATAGTACCAGGGTACGTTCCGGTATACCGGACCGTACCCAGGGTACGTTCCGGCAGTACCCCGGGGGACATAGACCCTCTCAGCATTAGTATATCCAAAGGTATATCCATCTGCAGCTTTGCAATTGTACGGACACGGCACTCTACCGAAATATGCTGCTTGTGTGCGTGTTGGTGCGAGATAAGCCTACAAAAAACCTTCTCCTCTCTTTCACACGCAACATTAAGTGTAGTCTCGTGCTATGCGTTGGCACACAAATGTTCTTGGTTCTCTAGTTATTGGGCGCTATGAAAAATGGCCCAACGCTGTATAAAACGTCGAGTTAGTCTAAGTTACATCCGGGTGAGCGCCGAATAGAGGAACGTGGGGTAGCCCGTTGGGCTCCTAAAGTTTGATTGAAAAGCTAGCTAGAAACAGATATGGATGCAGTGGCGATGTCTCGTATATATGGTTCTGTGTATGAATATGTGATGAATTTACAGGTCCCAAGTTGGGAAAATACAAAAAAGGGATCACTTGTGATAATGGTCCATCGCCGTTTTTTCGTGGTACGCAAAAACAGGGAAAAAGTTGTGGCGGGTTGCGACATGTGTTTGTCGCGGCGCACCATCATTTTTTTTAAAGTATACATGTAAAATAAACATGAAGTATACATTTATGGCCTTTTAATATTAGCTGGAATCAAAGTACATCAACAACCACGGCAAATTTAGTAATTTAATGATGTAAATTTGAAAATATGGCTGAAAAATGTACGACCGGGACTTTCTGGACTCTTAACGGGGCACCGGGACCAGCATGTCGCACCGGGACGATCCCGGTGAGACCGGGACACTTGGGACGTCTGTGAATTGCATCACAGTATAAACATTTAGGCGATTTATATACTACACATTGCTTACACGTGTTGTGTAATAGGAGACAAGCGTGTACACCGTACACGTGCGCGCGCACGTACGCACGCGGACGCACACACACACACACACACACACACACACACACACACACACACACACACACACACACACACACACACACACAC